GATATTCTTCTTCCAGGGCCAGTGCTTCAGTCTGATTTACCAGTGTTGATTCTCCGCTGGAGACTTTTTAGATACGTCTTCAATAGCGATATTGAGAAGATGTATAGGCAAATTCTTGTAGACGCCAACCAAACGAAGTACCAACGAATAATTTTCCGTACGTGTCCAAACGAACCAATTAGTATTTACGAACTAAAGACGGTTACTTTCGGTATAAATTGTGCTCCTTATCTCGCGATAAGGACATTGCTCCCGCTAGCTGATGACTCAGAAAGCCTCTATCCTATAGCCTCGGACATTTTACGAAAAAGTATGTATGTCGACGACGTTCTTGCCAGAGGACATACTATTGACTCCGCGATAAAAGCCAGGGATGAGATTTCCGCAGTTTTGCAAGGCATACCAAAAGCACATCTGCTGAGTGAAAATTTCTTAGAGTTTGAGGACACAAGCAGTGTAAAAGCCGTAGGTATAAGGTGGAACGCGCATTCCGACCAATTTTATTTTATAGCCAAGCCAATAGAAGATAACGTCAATCCAACGAAGAGAGCGATATTATCAGCCATCGCTAAACTCTTTGACCCGTTAGGTTGGCTAGCTCCAATGATAATTGTCGCGAAAATACTTATGCAGAGCATATGGTTAGAGGGTACAGACTGGGACGAGACGGTGTCCCCAACAACACTAGATAGATGGCAGAATTTCACGAGAAACTATCAGGAAATCAATAATATAAGGATACCACGTTGGGTATCTTTCTCACCAACAGAAAAGGTAGAGATTCACGGATTCTGCGACGCATCCGAAAAAGCGTACGCTGCCGCAGTCTACTTACGCGTGGAAAAAGAGGATAAAGTACTTGTAAATCTGCAAAGTACTTGTAATTCGCAAAAACTAGAGTAGCGCCAGTCAAAACAATTTCCTTGCCTAGATTAGAACTTTGCGGGGCGGTATTACTGTCAGAAATAGTCGAATCAATCACCAAAAATCTTGAATTAGGCCACCTAAACGTACATCTGTGGACTGATTCGACGATTGTTCTGGCGTGGATACGCAAGCCCCCATGTTCGTGGTCAACCTTCGTTGCCCACCGAATTACAAAAATCATAGACAAAGGAGGGAACTTGAACTGGCTTCACGTCGATTCAGCTACGAATCCCGCAGATTTAGCAAGCAGAGGCATACTGGCGAACGAATTGGTCAAAAATTCTTTGTGGTGGCAGGGACCTTCTTGGCTGCAAGAAAATAGGGAAAAATGGCCAACCCAAGAGACAGACTTCACCACGAGCATTGAGGAAAAAAGGGTGCACGTTCATGCAACAACATCGACAGACAAAATCAATGACATTCTTGACCGGTTTTCTAGTTTACCGAGGGCTTTGAGGGTGATATCTTATATATTGCGTTTCTTTCAAAGAACCCATCCGAAGACAAAAGCTTCTTTTCAGTCGGAATCTTGCTCAACTTCATCTAATGAAATTAAATCAACGACTACTCGCCTGATTAAACTTGCTCAGAAGCAACATTACGGAGCAGAAATCGCGAAACTGAAAACTAAAGAATGCATTGAGTCTAAGAGTGAAATACTTCCTCTTAATCCATTTCTGGATAAAGATGATGTGCTGCGGACGGGGGGTCGTCTTGGCACATCTCTGGATCTAGCGTACAACGAACGGCATCCCGTAATACTTCCATACAATTGTAGATTATCCCGTCTGATTGTCCAATTCATCCATGAAACTTCTCTCCATGGTGAGAATCAACTAATGTTGCGTCTCATACGAACGCAGTATTGGACTCCGAAGGTGAAAACGATGATAAGGTCCACAATCCATAACTGCAAGATCTGCACTATCTATAAAAAAACGCGCGCAAGGCCAACTTATGGGGATTCTTCCACAAGAGCGAACAACATTTTCGCGACCATTTACCAATGCTGGGGTGGATTTTGCTGGACCATTCGACATTAAGAGTTATCGTGGACGAGGCTGCCGAATGTCAAAGGGTTATGTGTGTCTATTTGTCTGCTTTTCTACCAAGGCCATTCATTTAGAGGCCACAAGCGACCTAAGTACTCAATCGTTTTTAGCAGCATTTTCCAGATTCGTTTCCAGACGAGGGTGTCCAAAAAATGTGTACTTAGATAATGGGACAAATTTCGTAGGAGCATCACGGGCTTTAAAAGCGGAACTAAAGGCATTTCTATCCGACGCGCGGACGAATACGTTATGCCCATCAGGCATTGACTTGGCATTTCATACCTGCCGCAGCTCCGCACATGGGTGGTCTGTGGGAGGCAGGTGTGAAAAGCTTTAAAAGCCACTTTAAAAAGATCGCGTCTAATATGAAGTACACATTTGAGGAATTCAACACTCTACTATGCCGAGTTGAGTCGTGTCTCAACTCACGTCCGCTGAGCCCAGCTTCCAATGAACCATCTGACCTTGAGCCCTTAACTCCAGGTTATTTTTTGGTAGGCGGACACATCTTGGCTCCACCAGAACAAGATGTGAACGAAAACCCAGCCTCGATCGTCAATCGTTGAGAGAAACTCAAGGCCTTGCATCAAAACTTCTGCAGGAGGTGGAAAACGGAGTATCTTTCTGAACTACAAAAGCGGATTAAGTGGAAGCATCCGAAATCAAACATGAAAGTGGGAGATCTAGTAGTCATACGGGAAGATAATCTACCACCCAATGAATGGAGATTAGGTAGGGTGGTCAATTTGCGCCCAGGTTCTGACAACAGGGTACGCGTAGTAGATATCATAACAGAGAAGGGCAAAGTAACAAGACCGCTTGTCAAATTAGTGTTATTACCGCCACATTCCGCTGAGACAGAAGAAACGATATCTACTGTATAAACCTATACGAAGACCATTCCATTGCAAATAAACCAGAACTCTTCTAAGTACTACCAGCTCTCAAAGGACTCTATATTCTAAACCACTACTTTCGTAACTATTAAACAAGCACATTTCATGCCTTTTTTTTTAACGTCTTCATAAGCAGAACTTGCAACAGGGAACATTTGAGGGGAAGTCTCTCGTCACTGTTTACCGTGTTTTATATGAAGCTTCTTATCTCGCACTCAAGGGTCATTCCATGTTAAGATGTACACGACTTAATGTTTAAAATTGCATAAGTATCCATTATTTGAGAGAGTAACATATAGCTTATTTATTTTACATAATTGTTGTACACCAGGCACAGTGGAATTACCCACTAGCCAAGAAATACAAGGTAGAATTGCGTTGTTAAAGGAAACCACAACAAAACTATTTACTCGAAATTTCATAAACAATTAGTAACTGCCAGAAAGTTAGCTGTTTCTTGCCCGCTTTAGTGTAAAAAATTTTGAGAGCTTTAGCGAACGTTTATCGAGCTAGGAGCAATAAATAAAGAATTAAAGTAACGCTTACCCCGTTTCTCCTCCGCCTCTGCGAACCCACGCTGGCATGTTGGTTTGATCCGATGAACTGCTGCTTCGATAGGAGTGTTCGCGTCCCAATGGCGTATCATTCGTAGGGCATAAACAAAAAAAAAAAAATATAATAATAGTTTCGATGACACTAATATTAAATGTTTGTTCCACTCGTGCGGCAAGTGACAAGGCCTTGTGTTAACAAACCAATCAAGACCAAACAAACGCACAAACGTGTTCCAATCACCAAGCACTCGATTTTATATCTATACATATGTATGTATGTGGCACATTTACATTAACTCTAGTAAATTTTTATAGATTTCTTGAACGCACATACACATGTAGGTCGGTGTTATGCAGACAGACTTTTGATTGGCAAACAATATGGCGGCTGCCTCTGTTTGGTGTGAGGTGGTTACGTCGAGTTTGCCACAGGGTTGCATTTTCTTAATAGCTTTATTTTTATTGGCAACCTTCGGTAGTTTGCTGCAGGGTTGCATATTAATAATGCTTTTGGTTTTACTGGCAACGTTCGATAGAAATTGTGTAGATATGCACGTAGGAAACATAAAAAGCGTTAAAAATGGATAACGAAGTATACGGTATTATATGTATGTTAAAACAACATGCAAATAGTGTTATATTCTGGACAGAAAATCAAAGAGATGTTATAAGGTGTGGAATAAACTCATTGAATCTTTGTTGATGCTCGGAAATATTAGACGCACCAGATCTTGCCGCGCAGTTATATGGCGTCAAACTAGAGATTCTGAAGGATCGTATGCATTTCTTCATAGACATCTTAAAAATGAAGATTTGTGGTCATTTAAGAACTATGTCAGGATATCAGATGGACAATTCGACCAAATTTTAAATTTGATTAGGTGCGACATAGAAAAATGTGTAACAAATGCTAGAAACGCCATTTCGCCAGAGGAACAGTTAGCGGTTACGCTTCGGTATTTAGCAACCGGCGAAACTTATCGCAGTTTAGCATTTCAAACGAGACTGTCCCATTCATTCTTGGTTATTGCATCCCAAAAGTTTGCAGAGCAATTTGGAAACGTTTAAGTCGCTTATATTTAAAGGTAATTAAAAAAAATTTAAGTGTTAAGTTTTCTTGAAGTCAAAGTTAAGGAGTGAGGTTAAGGAGTGAACACCAAATATAAAAACAAGTGACATAGACCTTTTAACCATCTTTACCTTATATGTTTTAATGAAATAAAGTAAATTAAATATTAAAGTCAATTCAATAAATATTTATTAAAACGTAAAAATACAACAGGTACTGAAATTTAAAAAAACCAATTCAATATTAACTTAAATAAATTTTTTCGTTTTAAACACTAAATCACATTTTATATACATAAATATATCGTCACCTAAGTGGAAGATCGACCTATCTCGGCAGGCAATTCGAAAACGCCCTATCTCAGAAAACTTTTGAAGAACGCCCTACTTCAGAATTTGATTGAAGAACGCCTTATTTCAGAATTTTATTTAAAAAAAAACACCCTATCTCAGCTGGCGATTCAAAAACACCCTATCTCAGTACATTTTCAATGTATTTCCAGCTGAGATAGGGCGTTTTTGAGCCGAATTCTGAGATAGGGTGTTTTTCAATAAAATTCTGAAATAGGGCGTTCTTCAGTCAAATTCTGAAGTGGGGCGTTCTTGAATAATTTCTGAGATAGGCCGTTTTCGAATTGGCTGCCGACATAGGTCGCTCTTCCTGTCAGGTGACGATATTAAGTAAAAATAAAAAAATTCATTAAAACTCATCACCTACCACAACCGTAAAATTCATTAAAAACTTACATTAACTTAAAATCTATTCCAAATCGCTATCATCTAAAACACCATCTAAAGCTAAACTTAAAATATCCCGAGTTGTCGCGGAGTTTGTTACTTCCTTGTCTTTTTTTCTGGCGGAAGATAGCAGGGAATGGATGGCATCAATGGTTTCCAGAGCAACGTCCTCACTTTTCATACCATCCAGTATGCTGACCACCTCCTCGCCAAACCACTCATATTTCCTTTTTGTGTTTGTCACCATTATATTTGTCAACTCTTTTAATCCCTGTTGTACCTTTTGTTGAAAATGAGCCTTATTTCGTTTTCTGCAAGATGATGAAACCTGAAAATAAAATAATTGTTATTATTTTTAGTTCCCGGAGTCTCCAAATGAATGGCAATCAATTGCGGATCAGTTTGAGCGGAAATGGCAGTTTCCTCTTTGTTTAGGAGCTTTAGATGGAAAGCATGTAAGCTTCTACGCTTCTCAATCAGATGGCTCTTACTATCACAATTACAAAGGAACTGATAGCATTGTACTGCTAGCACTGGTGGATGCAAATTGCAAATTTATTTATATAAACGTGGGCGCAAATGGTAGAACTCATGATGGAGCTATCCTAAGCCATTCGTCTTTACAGCGAGTGTTGAATAATGGGGATACATACTTTCCACCAGACAAAGTTATAGGGAACCAAAGATTATTGCCTTATGTCGTGGTTGCCGATAATGCTTTTGCACTACAAAGACACGTGATGAAACCTTACTCACACCTCACAAGTGTGCGTGAAAAAATTATTTTCAATAAAAGATTGTCCAGGGCACGTCAAACAAGTGAAAGAGCTTTCGGCATACTCTCTCAAAGATTCCTTATACTGAAGAAACCAATCAACTTACAAAACGTAAGAACTATTGAGACCATTATACAGGCGTTTTGTGTACTTCACAACTTTATTTTAAGTAATAGGATAAGTTCTTTGAGTGAACCATTTATGGATACAATGCATTCTAATGCAATATCATATGAAAGAAATCTCTCACCTGAAGCAATAAGAAATTCTTTTCTTGAATATTTTAATAATGAAGGAAAGCTGGAGTGGTTAGAACAACAATAAAAGTTATGCAAATTAAATATAATGCCTGAATTTTTAAATAAATATGGTTGAGCCTTTTTAATTTGTTTTAATGAATTCAACGTTTTTCAGCATTTTGGCTACGAATCGTGAAAATATAACTTACCGACGGTTCGTCCCTCAACGAGGCGTTGTCCGTGTTTATATTATTGTCCGTATCGTATCTCTATTGGAAAAATTACAAATTACTCTTAGAAAACTTTATGTCACAAAATCTTACCGTTTGTGGCCTGTTTTCATCATTTAAACTATCCTGCGTCACCCTTATTTCTACGTTTGGACGTAGAAACTGGAGCAGCTCGTAACACCACATTTTGGGTGTTTTCACATCTGCTGCGCCGCATCCACTCCGTTTACTGGCTTCAATTGCCCTCACTTCTCTCCGAAATTGTGAGCGCAGTTCTTGAATTTTTTCCCTAATGTTTTTTGGGGTCACAAGGGGATCTTTCGTCACCAAAACGTCGTGAATTCCATTTATTGCCGCATTTCGCTTATCCCTGTCACTATAATGGCAATGCTTTGTGTTCCAAAGACACTCTCGGGCCTGGAGAAGATTTATTAATTCTTCCGTTAACGCTCGGCTCCAGGAGATAGACATTTCTATAATTATAAAAATTAATTGACCCACTTTAGATTTTCACAAATTTCTTTGCTTAGTCATTTTCTAACGACACACAAATAAGTAATAATGTTTTTGTAATACAAATACTCACTTTAATAACTTTTATATTCGCGCGGATATTAAATATCTTTATATCGAAAATTTTGCGTTAGCAGTACATATACTCAGCGCGTTTTCTTCTGGAATAAACATGTTTTGTGTATAACCGCAACATCTACCATATCGGTATGGCAATACTGTATTTTCCAGCAAATTTTTGTGTATGGCAACACTTATTTTTCATCTGTTTGGCCCAACAAATTTAGTTTGCTGTGAGAGTCACCAAACTTTCTCTCTCCGAGTTTGCTGCAACAACAATTTCACGCAGTTTGCCAAACAAAATTTCTGCATAACACCGACCGTACACATACACCGAATTATGTTTGCATTTGTACACACAACTAATAATATAATTTAATTTTGTGCGTCAGCTTAAGAAAACAGTGTAGCAAGCGTAAAACCCTTGCAGTTATTAAGTCTAAACAAACGCTACACGTAGTTTTCTTAGTATGGCCGCAAATACACAAGAACCACTCGCCACAATACACGTCCATCTTTCGTCTTTGCTTTTAAATTAAATTTATGCTTTTGATTGTTTTTTTTGTCACACTTTGTTGGTTTCCTTTTTCTCACAGGCCACGGGTACTGCCTTTCCACAATTCACGTCCACCTTTCGTTCTCGCGTTTATATAAAATTTTTAGAGCGTCGCACGCCAAAATTCACTGCCCTGATAAGCGGGCACATGCACTGTAAACTGCATACTTGGTATTTATAATATATTTTTTTTTCTATTTTTATGAGGTAGCATTATGTTGGTTCTAATCTTTAGGCACACACAACCAGATAAAATTTTTCACAAGTTTTTTTTTCGTGCTATTTTCTCACCCACTAGTGTTAATATCCTT